TCATTCCAAAGCTCAAGCACAAAAGAATATAGATATGAGGAGAAAGACAATTTTCATGACTTTTCATGTTTTACTGCTTGATAACAAACGAATCATCTAAGCAAATTTTTTCAGACTATTTTCCAGTTAGAGTAGACTATTTGTTGAAGACATGTAAACTTGTTCTCTTCTTTTTTCATTCATCTAAAAAATATGCTTTTATGTTGGCGTGAGTATTAAACAGAAAAAATGGAGAGAATGAGATACTAACTATTTTCATTTATCACTTACTGCTATTGTTATGGCATGCCTTTAACGGTGCAGAAGATAAGAGAAAAAGAAAACTTTACTCGAGAAAGTAGAAGAAATAGATCACATTGCATATTATAATTTGAAAAACAGACAATGAGTGAAGTAAATCGAATAATACAGTTGTTTCGAGAACGAACTTCTAAAGAACTTCTGGTTTCATCATCACTTACTCCATTTCAAGAAGAAGAACTTGCTAATCAATTATTCGATGTATTCGAGTCAATATGGACAAGCACTTCGTATAATCAAGAAGACGAAACAACTCTGGATCATAATACATCAGACAATGAAACAGATGAGTGCGAACACGAACCTGATGAACCATCTGATGATCCAGATTAGGAAGAAAAAGATGAAGAGAAACCGATGTTTGAGTCTTTTTCTTTGTCGTACATAAAACAAGTACTAGCTTATTATGATGCAATAAATCCCAAAACTGGAAAACGATCGCACACGTGGAAAAGCGTCCAAAACAAATTTAAACGAATTATTCATCAATCTTATATGGCACATTTTCGAAATTATGTCGAATAAGGGAAGGTACGAAGAAACAAAAAATCGATTTGTTAGATGATTATGTTTATGACAACTTAAAGCGTGCCCGAAATCTCCTGTGTCCAGTTCACGACATAGACTTAAAAACGCTGGGCCATACGAACAGCTAGAATGATCTCATTGCACAATTTTGTGGTATCAGATCATTGGATCTTAAATTTTAAGCACAAACATAATATTTGTTCAAGAAAAATTATAAAGGTTAGGACCTGATTTGTAGACAGCATATGGATGCATAAAATTATATATTAGTATTTGAATATCGTTATTCTTTTTCAGGTAGTTACAAAACGTGAATTAGTCGATGAGATTGAAATTAAAAAGTCAGCTGAACAATTTGTCACGCAAGTTAAATCATTATTGCCTCATTATAATGAAGATTTCGTTTTGAGTACAGATCAGTCAGGACTTCAGCTCGAGTTTTCCTCAACCCGAACATTGTCTCATCGAGGCGAGAAGACAACGTTTGCTACTGTACGCTCGAGAAATGCAACTACTCATAGCTATACAGTTCAACTGACAATAAGTATCAGTGGCAAAATCGTCGGTCCCATCTATCAATGTTTCAAAGAGATAAATGGTCGAATGAGCGAAAACATTAGAGCAAATCTTCCACAGATGAAAAATGTTGTCGTGACATGCAGTACATCAGGTAAATTAACTACGTCCTTAGTTGAATACTAGCGTGATAAATGGCTCATTCCTTCCTTGTCTTTACGCAAAACATTACTTATTTCCTATAGTTGGTCTGAACAGACTGATCGGAATGATATGTATGAGTCAATAAAAGGATTGAAACGGCTACAGATTCCGTGGAAAACGACTGCCAAAATCCAGCCTTTAGATGTGTTCTTCCACAGACAGTGGAAAGTAATCGCACGTAAGGTTTACGAGCGGGTTCTTCTTGATGAAATAGATATTCATCTTGCGCAAAGAAATAATATCATCTGTTTACAATCTCTTATTCATAATTAGCTTTCATCTCCTGTTTTTTACGGCTATGATACGCTACGCATGGTTTAAAAGTGGTTATACTGATATTGATCTTGGACCATTTCAAATAGTGACCGAAGTTTGTTTTAAATTTAAACAAGACTACTGTGACATGCCTTCTTGTGAGCAATTCGCGTTCATTCGATGTAGCTATTGCAACAAAATATTATCTTTACATAACTTTTTCGTTAATTATAATAGTCATGGTATCTCATTTATATAATCATGCACCGCGTTTTTATGATTTTTGTCACATGTTTGTTGTTTTTTCTAATACTCACGCCAACATATACGAAGATAAAATCTAACACGATTTACAAAAGCATATTTTTCAGATGAATGAAAAAAGAAGAGAACAAGTTTACATGTCTTCAACAAATAGTCTACTCTAACTCGAGAATAGTCTGAAAAAAATTGCTTACAGGATTCGTTTGTTATCAAGCAGTAAAACATGAAAAGTCTTGAAAATTGTCTTTCTCCTCATATCTATATTCTTTTGTGCTTGAGCTTTGGAATGATCAAGACCATTAGTCGGCATAGATATGAGAAAAATTTCAATCCAATATGCTGTTCTTTCTTCAAGAAAACTAACATTCAGCAGCAAAACAGGAAATTTCGCTTAATAACTTGCAAGATTTGTAACTCCTGCTAGAAGCAACTTCCACCCGAACTAACTTAGGGTATATCACTCCTAGCTATGCCCTATCTAGCCANGATTTATGTCTTATATGTGTCGCATTTTTATTCTCATTCACGTCGTAGGTAGTGAAAATATCAAAATGTTCGTATTGGATGAAGCTGATGAACTTTTATCTCATGGTTTCAAGGAGCAAATTTATGATGTATTTACGGCGCTGCCAGAAAATGTTCAGGTCATTGTTGTATCGGCTACGATGCCCTGTGATTTACTCGAAATCACAGCAAAATTTATGAATGATCCTGTGAAAGTTCTTATCAAGAGAGAAGAACGAACGCTCGAAGGTATTCGTCAATTTTACTTGAATGTCGAACGTGAGGTAGATAGACATACTTGTCATTCTATGATGATGAACTGATGCAGAATTGTTTTTATCCAGGAGTGGAAATTAGATACATTATATGAATTGTTCGATACATTAACGATCACACAAACTATCATTTTTTGTAACACATGTCAAAAGATCGATTGGTTAACTGAAAAACTACGTGCACGTAATTCAACTGTATCTGCTCTGGTCAGTTTCACGATGATAATTTTGAAATAACCATTTGTAAAGTCATACATTGAGATACGAATTGATTTTCTTTTTATTGCAGCATCTTAATATGGACGCAAAACAACGTAATGATGCCATAAAAGAATTTCGAATGGGTTCCAGTCGAATCTTGGTAAGAACAGATATGCTTGGAGGTGATACTGATATTCCACAAGTTAGTCTTGTTATCAATTATGATCTACCGACTAATCGTGAGAGCTATATTCATCGGTAAGAATCAATAATGTCGAAAAGAAATGAATTTTGTTCTTTTGGTTAAGTATTGGACGTAGTGGTGCATTCGGTCGAAAAGGTGTGGCTATCAATTTCATTACCAATGATGAACGACAAACATTACACCACATTGAACAATATTATAATACACAAATCGAAGAACTGCCTATGGACATTACTGATTTGATTTAAAAGAGAGGCTTCTGTTCTTGTTCTTTGTATCGATACAAACATCACCTCGCGGTTATCATCTTCTGATCTTCTATCTATTCTGATGATATGAAAAATCAACTCCTAGCTAACTTCCATTAGATTCTTTTTTTATGCTTACTTTCTGATTTAGATCTGAAATAAAGATGACTAACACTAGAATACGTGATTATGGTGGGTGTGGGTGTTAGAAAACAGAACATGCCCACCCATCCACACCCTCTATCGCTCGAATACATCTCCTAATTTTTCTGTTTCTTGTTTATTTCGAAGATTTCTCCATGCTACCGATGCTCTTTTTGTTAATGATTGTCCAGATACTGCTTATTCATTCCAGGACTTACACCTATAATAAATACAGTTACATCCACACCCATAACGAGTGACATATAATAAATCCTATAGTTTTGTCGAATGCAAAGTAAAAGAATTTTCTTCAAAAAATTCATGGCGAGTGAACTTAAATAACAAGATGTTGATGGAATCAAAAAAACTAAAATTACGATTCAAATTTGTCGAATATTAATAGACGGCAGCGGAACGAATTCGATCATAGTAAAATTGATTTATTCGCTTGACTTGAACGACAAACAAATATTCGCTAGCATCACGACTATATTAGGTTCTCTTACGAGGGAACCACCCTAGGTGTCAAAAAGCTTTTCGGTCGGGGATATTATGGTTAGATAGGGCATAGCTAGGAGTGATATACCCTAAGTTGGTTCGGGCCCAAGTTACTTCTAGCAGGAGTTATGAATCTTGCAAGTTATTAAGCGAAATCTCCTGTTTTGCTGCTGAATGTTAATTTTCTTGTAGGAAGAACAACATATTGGAATGAAGTTTTTCTCATATCTATGTCGACTAGTGGTCTGAATCATTCCAAAGTTGAAGCACAAAAGAATATAGATGTGAGGAGAAAGATAATTTTCAAGATTTTTCATGTTTTACTGCTTGATGAGAAACGAATCATCTAAGCAAATTTTTTAGACTATTTTCGAGTTAAAGTAGACCATTTGTTTAAGAGATGTAACCTTGTTCTCTTCTTTTTTTTCATTCATCTGAAAAATATGCTTTTGTAAATGGTGTTAGATTTTATCTTCGTATATGTGTGCGTGAGTATTAAATAGAAAAAATGAAGAGAATGTGATAGTAACTATTTTCATTTATCACTTACTGCCATTGCTACGGCATGCCTGTAACAGTGTAGAAGATAAGAGACAAAGAAAACTTTTGTTAGCGTCAACAGATATTACGTAGTTGCCGCTAACCTTTCTCATTTCTTTTCGTTCTCCTTTACATAACCTATGTGAGGTTCGATGCTTCCTGGACATATACATATATGTCCATATTATTATTGTTATTATTATTATTGTTCTTTTTTTCTCTTTTCTCTCTCTCTTTCGTCCAGTTATATGAACAAGTATGCCCCAGCAGGCCAGTTGTGTATTTTGTGTTATCTGGGTAACACGTTTTCTTTGAATAAAATACTTATCCCTCATCTGAACCTATATTACCCTCACCATTACATCAATCTACAAGACAAGGTAGGACTACTAACACTACTAACCCAGCTATTACAGATCATAGTTTTCTATTGATTCCTTCCGGCCTATTAACATTTAGTGGGTAGGAGATTTGGATGAAAGAGAAAGCTAACAACTTTACTCGAGAAAGCAGAAGAAATAGATTACATAGTATATTATAATTTGAAAAACAGACAATGGGTGAAGTAAATCGAATAATACAGTTGTTCTGAGAACGAACTTCTAAAGAACTTTCGGTTTCATCATCACTTACTCCATTTCAAGAAGAAGAACTTGCCAATCAATTATTCGATGTATTCGAATTAATATGGACAAGCACTTCATATAATCAAGAAGATGAAACAACTCTGGATCATGATACATCAGACAACGAAATAGATGAGTGCGAAGACGAACCTGATGAACCGTCTGATGGTCCAGATTATGAAGAAAAAGATGAAGAGAAACCGGTGTTTGAGTCATTTTCTTTGTCGTACATGAAACGAGAGCTTGCTTATTATGATGCAATAAATCCCAAAACTGGAAAACGATCGCACACGTGGAAAAGCGTTCAACACAGATTCAAACGAGTTACTCACCAATCATATATGGCACATTTTCGAAATTATGTCGAACAAGGAGGTACGAAGATACAAAAAATCGATTTATTAGATGATTATGTTTATGACAACTTCGAGCGCACCCGAAATCTTCTGTGTCCAGTTCATGACATAGACTTAAAACGCTGGGCCATACGAAAAGCTAGAATGATCTCATTGCACGATTTTGTGGCATCAGATCATTGGATCTTAAATTTTAAGCAGAAGCATAATATTTGTTCAAGAAAAATTATAAAGGTTAGGATCTGTTTTATAGCCAGCATACAGATGCATAAAATTATATACTAGTATTTGAATATCGTTTTTCTTTTTCAGGTAGCTACAAAACGTGAATTAGTCGATGAGTTTGAAATTAAAACGTCAGCTGAACAATTTGTCATGCAAGTTAAATCATTATTGCCTCGTAACAATCAAGATTTCGTTTTGAATACAGATCAGTCAGGATTTCAACTCGAGTTTCCTTCAACCCGAACATTGTCTCATCGAGGTGAGAAGACAACGCTCGTTACTATACGATCGAGAAATGCAACTACTCATAGCTATACAGTTCAACCGACAATAAGTATGGGTGGCAAAATCGTCGGTCCCATCTATATATGTCTCAAAGAGATCAATGGTCGAATGAGCGAGAACATTAGAGCAAATCTTCCACAGATGAAAAATGTTGTCATTACATGCAGTGCATCAGGTAAATGAACTACGTCCTTAGTTGAATACTGGCGTGATAAATGTCTCATTCCTTCCTTGTCTTCACACAAACATTACTTATTTCCGATAGTTGGTCTGGACAGACTGATCGAAAAGGCATGTATGAGTCAATAGAAGGGTTGAAACGGCTAGAGATTCCATGGAAAACGACTTCCAAAATCCAGCCATTAGATGTGTTCTTCAACAGGCAGTGGAAAATAATCGCGCGTAAGGTTTACGAGCGGGTTCTTCTTGATGAAATAGACATTCATCTTGCGCAAAGAAATAATATCATCTGCTTACAATCCCTTATTCATAATCAGCTTTCATCTCCGATCTTTACGCCTATGATACGCTACGCATGCTTTAAAAGTGGTTATACTGATATTGATCCTGGACCGTTTCAAATAGTGACCGAAGTGTGTTTTAAATTTAAACAAGACTACTGTGACACGCCTTCTTGTGAGCAATTCGCGTTCATTCGATGTAGCTATTGCAACAAAATATTATGTTTACATGACTTTTTCGTTAATTATCATAGTCATGGTATCTGACTTATATAATCATGCACCACGTTTTTATGATTTTTTTCATTTTTTTGTTGTTCATTTTTTTGGATACTCACGCAAACATATACGAAGTTAAAATCTAACACCATTTACAAAAGCATATTTTTCAGATGAATGAAAAAAAAGAAGAGAACAAGGTTACATCTCTTAATCAAATGGTCTACTTTAACTCGAAAA